TAATGCTTTTATTTTAAAAAATCTCCATTGTGTATTAACTTATGCTCTTATAAACTCACATTCTTAAAGATTTTCAGAGAATTTTTAGGACATCAGAAGTTATTACTATCTTCCTGTAATATACACTATTAAAATGAATCACTATGGAGGTAGAAGAAATAATTTACAATAGGAGATTGGATTTGAAGGAGAAAAGATATAGGAATACATATACATATCTATATGTAGGGAAAGGCTAATAATTAAGACTCAGAAGAATCACTCCCAGGACCAGTTTTCACACTTATAAATGGTCCAGATGAGGGAATTCACACTAAAATATCTACCAAAAGCAGACTCTGATAAATGATTGACCTGACTTACTTTGCTGACAGTTTCATCTTTCCTAAGGTAGGAGATGTTATGGAGGAATTGTAACTTTGGGCTTAATTCAAATCTCAAAGGAAAGCTGGCTGGAGATGTGGTAGGGAAATCCACAAGATATATCTTGATTTTAGGTTTCTGTCAAGCCACCAAATCTGGCGGAGAAGATGAAAATATGGGTTGGGTTATAGTAAAAGAGGTATAACAATCCAAATAATATTAACTTGCAAATTATCTTGAATCTGGAAAGAGGTCTCTAAGTGTTTAACCTTAACAAGGCATAACCCTGCTCAAGATTTCTATCTGTTATTAACTATGTTATAGAAGTAACTTGTCCATTATACATAATAATGTGACAAGAGGTGAATATCAATAATGCATTAATAAGAGAATGAAGACTTAATCCTGACAGGCTAAACTCTTGGCCAAAATCAAGAAGATAAAGTTGCAAGTCCTGATGATAGTTTTTGTTGTTGTTTAAATGACACCTCATGGTGTTAATGAGCTGATAAATTAGTTTAATCTTCCTGGAGGGAAATTAGGAAATAAACAACTAAACCTCTAAAATATTCATAGCCTTCAAACTTGCTATTCTATCAGAGAGAATTAGTTGAAGAAAATAATCCGGAAAATATCTATTGACAGAAAAAAAAAAAAAAAACAACATGAATAGTCAGTTGGTCAAATTATACCCTGGCCATAAGGCAATACTATACATCCATTAAAAATACGTGGTATTTGCCTTTTCACATGAGACTATATCAATGATAAAGCAGTTAAAAATACTGTGGAAGAATATCGTATACTTTATTTTTACAAAATAAATGCTATACATATATAGATACGCAAATACCTGAAAAGAAAATATGTGAAGGGCTAGCCAGGATAGTGTTTGTGGTTTCTCTGGTGGATAATTTTAGGAATAAAATTTTCTTCTTTATGTTTATGTATGTCTTCTAATTTTCCATAACATATATGTATTAATTTTACGATAAAAATGTTATCCTGAAAATAAAAGATGAAGGGGCCTGCCATTTAAAATGAAAACATTTTTCCGGTTATTTTGAGGACAAAATAGTGATACAGTAGGTAATAAAAAGGACTGTAACTTAGGTTGCATAAATAACAATAGCGTTTTAATGGGGGTGAGGAATGGAGGGATGCCACAGAGCCGTAAACCCACATGGTCCTGTGATACTGCATTACCGGAACAACTGCAACAATATGTGTCTTTCGTGAGGTGGCAACTTGCCATATAAACAAAAGTTGTAATAATTTAAGATATTTTTCCCACAGAATTGACAGATTGGAGACCTGGGTACAGTGAGCCAGGCTAACTGTGTTCAACTACCTGAAGGATGACAGAAGGAAAGGAATTTTGATTATCTCTAAACAAAACCTTAAATAAAACACTTGAGTAAATGGAAATAAGATTCAGAGAGTAAAATATTCAGAAGGATTTCCTAATGTTTAGAAAACTGTGTGGCGGGCTATAGGAGAACTAAATTCATTCCCCATTTTAGGCCTGTCATTTTGGTTCCTCTCTGATGCAAATGATTGAAAATCTTGCTCAAAACTATGTAAATCAAAAAGGAGTCATATTGGCCGAGAAGCGATGGGCTTAATCACGCTTTAGTTTTGCAGAGGCTGCATGCAGGGCTCTGATGATGCCCACAAAATTCATTTCCCCTCCTTTCTTGTGGTTTCATCATGGCAGCAGCTTGGTTTTATGATAGCCAAATGGCTACAGCCCTCGAGATTTCCCACCCTGTGTCTCCTGTCCAGGGAAAGACCCTTCTTATACACAGGAGAATGAAAATTCCAAACCTGAGTTGCCTGACTCTTAATTGGCCTCCTTTCCTACTCCTGAGCCAATTACTATGGTCAACTGGTATGGGATAGTTGTTTCATTACAAAAGTCAGCCAGGGCCTACCCTTCCCCCAGTTGAAAATAGGGTCAAACTCAGGCAAATTGTCTGGATGACAGTGTGGACGGGTTGTTTCTGAAAGATAATTCAGGCTGGTTTTCTATCAGGAAAAAGGACGTCTAGACAATGGGCTGCAAAAATGACAGATGTCTATTAAAACTAAAATGAGAAATGTAACTGGGTGATTTCTTAGGTTCTTTCCAATGCCGAGATCCTATGAGACTGCTATTCACCTTTGCAGTTGGCATTAAAGTTTGTGGGGAGCAGTGTACAAAAGGAAACACAGAAGGAATTGTTGACGAACTCTGGGAAGGTATGATCAGTACTCAATAAGATATAGGAAATTAGTGCTGTGAGTAAGAAAAGGCATTGATAGGGAGTCCATTTAAAACATAAATACCCCTCCACAGTTATTTTAAATTTTGAAAAAATTGGGATGTCATGAATTAATCTGACTCTCTTCCCCAAAGGACTCTCTGTTTTTACTTAACTAGGTATGCATTTTGTGTGGCTGTAATGCAGTGTCTATGCATTTCTCTCTTGATGTAACCCCTCCTACTACCTGACACACAACACCCATGCCTGGAAGTGTGCAAAAAAGAGAAACAAGAAGCCATCTCTCCAAAACAGACTCCTCCTCACCCCTGCGCTTATACATATTCCAATGCTCCCCAAAATGTGATCAATCATAGATTATTTAGGTTTGTCAAATGCTTTTCAAAATTCATGTGATTCCTGGAAGGGTTAAGGCTCATTCACACTCAGAGTAAATTGCTTTAATGAGAAAATCAGATCACCAGCTCCTGAGGGCTGCCAGCTCAGCAAAATTTCTTCTGCAAATTTGCACTTTTGTTTTGAGATTAGGAGCGGGTAGGGAAGGCAAGAATTTGGGAGCAGATGGTGATTTGGGGTACATTTTGGACAGCCAATAGAATTCTTAAAGAAATGTAGGGAAATGCATAGGAGGGAATAGAAACCTAGGAGTAATGGACTTAAAAAGGGGACTAGATGCTAACAAAAACAATTTTGCCTAGAATCCTGTCAACTGCTCCAAGGACCAGCTGGAATTAATGAGCATCTCTGCTTTCCCAAGCCACTGCAGCTCCTCTAATGTCCTGTCATCCAATCCCCACCCACTTTCCACTTAAGAAGCAAAAGGAAGTGAAGAAATAAATAGTCAAAGACAGAAAAATGTAAAAAGAGAATTTTTACTCATGTGCCTATCTCCTTTATTTTTATTTCTAGTTCTATTTCACGTTTCAATCCCTGGGATTTGCCTTTTTTAGGATAACTACACTGCATCCCCCAGGAACACCAAGGGCAATGCCCTTGTACAAAACCTTCGTTCATCTGCACTATATGTGGTTCTGGTTGATGAACCTTAAAAGAGAGGAAATGGAGCTAGGAAAGGTCTGAACAAGGGCAGATAAAATGATCAGAGGGATTCTTTAAAAGGGTGCTATGTGAGAGCAGATTAAAATGATTACCTTCCTACATGCTGACCTCTACAAAAATATAAGGGGCACGGATAAGGTAAACACAAACTGGATGGATAGACCCTACAGTGCCACAGCCATGGGAAAGCCGCAGAGACCAACGGGTAGACAGGTGCATAGATGGTAGCTGTTACATTGCAGAGATTATATTTATGCATCTCTCTACTCTTAAGTAGTAAAAACCAGGGAAGTTAAACAGGCTTTGTTAACATTACAACTGAAAATCATACAATGAGTTATCAAAAATAAGCCAGATGATGGTTACCAGTGCTTATTAACTGTTGCTGTGGATAATTTAAAATAATGTTCTTCAAATCCATCAGCAGATCAGACTCACCTGGGGGTACTTTAAAACTATACATAGATTTCTACAGCTCCATCTAAGACTTAAAAATATCTAGGAATAAGACCTCAATATATGTGTATATTTTAAAAGATTCTCATCCCAGCACTTTGGGAGGCCGAGGTGTGTGGATCACGAGGTCAAGAGATCTAGACCATCCTGGTCAACATGGTGAAACCCCATCTCTACTAAAAATACAAAAAATTAGCTGGGCATGGTAGCGCGTGCCTGTAATCCCAGCTACTCAGGAGGCTGAGGCAGGAGAATTGCCTGAACCCAGGAGGCGGAGATTGCAGTGAGCCGAGATTGCGCCATTGCACTCCAGCCTGGGTAACAAGAGTGAAACTCTGTCTCAGAAACAAAAAACAAAACAAAACAAAAGATTCTCCAACTGACTCTCATATGCATAGGATTTGGGAATACAGTTCAGAGGCTGACCCTGCTACCCTGGAAGGCAGCAGTAATGTAACGGGAAAGTATCATGGCTTGTGGAATCAGGAAGAACTGAATTTAAATTCTGCCTCTGCTGCTTCTCTGGGTGTGACTTGGACCAGTTACCTACCCTCTCTGAGCCTGAATCCATCTTACAGGGTGGTATATAGACTTTCTAGGGCATATTGGCACTGAGTAAATGTTGACTTGTGCAGTCCCCCTCCAGCCTCCAACCAGGTCTTGTGAGTCATTGAGCACAGAAGCCTGTGCTAGTGAGACTGTGGATGTAAGCACATGGATCGTTCTTAGTGCATCCAAGTGTTTGTCTCTGAGAGGGAGAGAAGACTGTTTTATAGAAAAGTGTGAATGTAGCTATGTTGTCTTTTTCTCTCTACCCTAGCTCTTCTGTGCTTCCCATTACAGGTAGAATAGTCAAAGAAGAAACATATGTTTCAGAACTATCAGGTTTAACTTATTGGATTCATGGTGTTTTTAGCTCATTTGTCAATATTTTAGGTTTTTGGCTCCTGTTGAGGCCTTTACCTTTTAAGATTAGTTTATTGACACTTCTGCGAAGTTGAAACTAAAGGCAAAAGCAAACCAGTGGGGATCTGAAAATGTGTGTGAACACCTGTTGGGCTGGGGTGTACACTCAAGCATCTGTTGAGGAAACAGAAGATTCCCCACCAAGTTGCAGTTCAGATCTAGAGACATGAACAGAGAACAGAAAACTAATGTATGGGAGGGAACAGTCAAGAAAGCGATTCCTTCAAGAGGCAGTTGCAAATAAGGCAAACACAGGTGTGCCAGGCTTCTGTGGAGCTGGCTGGAGAGAAACGGGAGGCAATGCAAGACAGTGGGAGGAGTCAGGCTGGATCCAGCTTCAGAGCCCTGTGGGCTCCATGGCTGCCGCTGGGCCTTAGGACACACAGCTGTTTTCAAATTCTGTTTCTTTAAATGGAAACACAGACTTGTAGGGAGAGAGAGCTGTTTTGCATGGTGAGCAGGAAGGAATCGGGAGGCAGTGAATCTGTTACTGAAGCTCCCCCAGCACCACTCCAGAGAATAGCATGTCCATTTTCCTGACCACGTCTTCTCCCAGGCGTTATCTCATTTGGAGCCTCTCAGGGATTCTCTTCAGCAGTCTCTATTGTGTACCCATTTTGGTCCCAGACCCAGGAACACTCGAAGCTCAGGTCAAAAAGTACTAAGTAACCAGATTCCATATTCCAAGAGCCACCATCAATGATGATCAGACATCTCCCAAAGAAATTTACTGAAAGGATGCTCTCTGAGACAAGCAAAATCAATTCATTGCCCACTTCGCTTCTGATACCTCCAGCCTACACACACAGACACAGACAAACACAAACACACATCACTATAAGAAAAGAATTGAGACTCACAGGTGAGGGGAAATGATCAAAATTTAGAAAGCATAGATTCATATATTCTGCAGTTGGTTGGGATTTGGCCAGTTGTCCTACTGATCTGACTCTTTACAACCTGAGGTGGGAATATTTGGAAGGAGACAGCAGGACTGTGAGATAACCTCAGAGTGGCTCCTGCTCCCCTACTATTTGGCACCTGCTATAGACTGAATGTTTGTTTTCTCCCCCACCCTTCCCAAATTCATCTGTTGAAATCCTAACTACCAAGGTGATGGCTATTTGGAAGCGGGGCCTTCGGTAGGTGACTAGGTCCTGAGGACTCTGCACTCATAGGATTAGTGCTATTTTATAAGAAACCCCAGAGTTCTCTTCTTTCCTTTTACCATGTAAAGTCACAGTGACAAGATCACGGTCTATGAACCAGGAAGTGGGGCCTCATCAGACACTGAGTCAAATGGCCTCTTGAGCTCTGACTCCCAGCCTTGAAAGTTGTGAGAAAGAAATGTTTGGTGTTTAAACTTGGTATTTAAGTCACCCAGTTTGATGCATTTTTGTTATAGCAGCACAAACAGATAAAGAAAATGTGGCATTCCTACGTGAGTTTCCCATATGTTTCCAGGACACTGCGGAGAAGGTAGGCTTATTACTGGCACTCCACCTAAAGTCCTGGTGAGAAGACTCCACGCAAAGGGGCTGTATCCAAATGCCTGGTGGTGGGAAATAAAGACAATGAACGTATATGAATCAGAGCTTTATTTCTCATCTCAGAGAACCAGATAATAGGGAGACACCCCAGGATTGCCCAAAGTGCATATACACGTGTTCCATGAGAATATCAGCTTTTTGGTCACTTGCTACACTGTAGAGTTTTGACAAGAAGTGGCACTGGCCAATCAATCAATAAGTAAAATAATGACCAGAAACAGGATGACACCCTCACTCCCAAGAGACCTGTAGTCCATGTAGTCTTCCATATACCTCTGAAGAAGAGTCAGAAAAGAAAGGGAGAAAACAGGAGTGAAAAATATGTGGTCTCCTCTTTTTCCCTGCTTATTTACACACCCACCAGAGCCACAGGGACTAGCTTGTGTTAGGAGCTGGGAAAGATAATTTTGAATTGAGTTCGAGGCTGACATTTTAAAAAGAAATCGGTAGCAACCTATCTGCCAGAAGTAACTGTTTCAATAAATGCAAGTGACTGAGCACTTAGAATTGGGACTAGCTATTAAGCCAAAGTTTCATTTCAGGGAGATGAAGCATATTTAGAGGGCCAAAACTGAAAAAAAAAAAAAGTGAAATCATTTCCCACGTATATCTCAACTCATTGAGATTCCTTAACTAAACAGTTTACACAAAAAGGAACCAGACCCAGTGCTGGTCCTCAGGGGTACTACCTCTCAACATGGGATATAAGACATTGCAAAAACATAAGGCAGAACTCGAGTTCCACATGGAAGCTTTGGAAAGCCTTGAGGACTTGACAGAAGAATGCTTAGCACCATCTGGGGGCTTTCCTGAAGAGCTAGCATTCAAGATGGGCCGAGCAAGGGCTGGCTTTCATCAAAGTGGGCTTAAGTGTGTTGGAAAGAGAAAGCAGTTTTGATAAACAGAAGAGCCTGCCTGAGTGGAAGCCTGGATTTGGGAAATGCAGCATGTGTTTGAAAAACAGTGTCTGATTTGATTAGCCAGGGGCAGTGGTGAGAGACAAGGTCTAAGGGGAAGGTGCTGGTGGGGGGACCCTTAAGTAGTGTATACTTAGTTTGAAAAAGATGTGGAAGATGCTTTGTCATCTGTCCTCTGTTTTGGAAAGAAGACTGTAGCTCTGTTTTACTTTAATTCTTCACAATTTTATGAGAGATACATAGATACATTCTTAATGTAGGAATTAGAATATTGAGGAGAAAGACAAACCCCCTTTACCAGCATTGTAGATTGACTTTTTCTCTCTCTGTCTCTATCTCTCCTCTGTGTGTGTGTGTGTGTGTGTGTGTGTGTGTATATGTATTCATATACACACATATATGAATGTGTGTGTATATATGTATACACACATATATGTATGTTTATACATATATGCCCAGTATATATCCAAAGGAGAGTACAATGTGTTAAGATATTGCTATTTTTCTCTGATGTAGCTTTTTAGTATGATTAAACTTGTCTTTTTTATATCAAATTATTTTTTACATATACTGTTTAAAGTAGACCAAAGAAAATAAAGCATATTGTTTAGAGCCTGGATTTACTGCCTGTGAGACCTTAAACAAATTATTAATATTTCTGTTCCCCAGTTCTTCATCTGTAAAACTGGGATACAATAGGTTTGTATTCTACTTTGTGTATACTCCCAGGTTTGCTGTGATAATTAGTTAAGATGCATAAACCCTTTAAAATAGAGTTGACATCTTGCAAAAGCTATATAAGTGTTTGTTACAAATAGATCAAGTTCATTCTTTAACTGCTACCATAAATTGTAACATGAATATGCCGTATTTTATTTAGCAATATCCTCATTGATTGACATCTAGACTCTTAATTTTGCATTATTGCAAATAATCCTGCAATAAATATTTCATCAATTTATAACACATGTTTTTAGAACATGTGTTAGAATTGGTATGGCAAATGCTATTATTGTAATAAATGCTCTTAAAATCACATTGATTCTAAGAATTTAATGTAATTTCCTTCCAATTTAAACACTTGAGATCATTTTTCCCATCTCTAAAATGACTTGAGAGAAGCTGTATCCCAAAGATTTAATGAGGTTATGTCCCTTTTAACTGTCAAGAGCTTCCCATTCTCTACACTGATATTCTTTTGAATTGTTGATAATTAATCAGGAACATCAGTAGTGAAATGTCACATAGATATCACTCCAACCCTTCGATCTGTAGCTTTAAGGAGAGATTTTTCTCCCTGTCTGCTGGCCCTGTCATTGCCAAGTTTCCCTCTTATTAACCTTGAAGTCACATGGAACAGCCTCTCCTGTGATTTCATCATATCTCCCATCTGAAGAGATGCTATCACACTCCAAAAAATAAATTGAAAGGACCATATCACCCCCACACAGAGGCAGGTCACAAGTTTAATTTTTTCTCCCCCAATGGGACTTCCTGCCCCACCTGTCACAGACAAGCCCTCCCAGACTTTGCGGTGGGTCTAATAACACATCCTAGTTTGCCTAGACAATTTGATCATTTTAATTTTAAAAGTATTCCTGAAGTTCTTTTCTTCTGTTGAAGCTAGTCTTCTTTGGGCTTTTTGGAAAAGGAACTATCTGCTTCCTTAAATCTCTTAAATTTCACAATAGTGATCTTGAATAATAAACAAAGGTAAAACACATTTTTATAAAATATTTCTACCACCTCTGTAAACTGTACAAAGTAGAATGGGCTCTTTGTCAGGTATATGTGAAAATATATCCCATTCACAGCTTTTCTTGAACTTAACACGCTTGTCCACATATAGATCTGACCCTCAGCAAAATGGTGAAGGCTGTAAAGTTTGACTTCAGCATCTTGAGTTTTCTTTTAAATATTAAAAAACTCCCTCGCTGCTTTGGGGTATGGATGTTCCTCTGTTTTCTATAATCTTTTCAACTAAATGTCTGTGCTCTCTATACTACTGGAAATATTAGAATAATGAAGCAGTAGCAGAATTTCTAGAAAAAAGCAATAATTAGCAAGAAGGGTAGTGGTGGAGACACAGGAGTCAGAGCATGACCTTGGTGTGGGAGGGAGAGTTCATTTGAGTGATAAAGTGGATCAATTGTCAGCAAGAGACATTAAAGTAAATGAAAGGTCTTGTTTTATTTCCAAAGCATCAGAGGCTCCGTTTGCACAAAGCTGAGGGTCAAAGCAGTCTGAGTAACAGCCTTCAAGATAGGATTGTGGAAATTAGAAGCTTCCAAGCTTGGGTCAGAATTGAATCAGAACTAAGATCAAGCAGGTATCAAGTCTATAAGGGGTAAATCTCTGGAATATATTTAAGGGTCAGACTGGAGAGCAGGAAGATTGGTTGTGATGTGGCAAGTTATGATGGCAAGGTTTCTTTGTTTGTTTGTTTGTTTTCTTTTATTTTTTACAAGACAGAGTCTTGTTCTGTTGCTCAAGCTGGAGTGCAGTGGTGTGATCTCCACTCACTGCAACCTCCGCCTCCCGAGTTCAAGGAATTCTGCATCAGCCTCCTGAGTAGCTAGGATTACAGGTGCATGCCACCACACCTGACTAATTTTTGTATATTTAGTAAAGATGGAGTTTTACCATATTTGGCCAGTATGATCTTGAACTCCTGAACTCGTGATCCGTCTGCCTTGGCCTTCCAAAGTGCTGGGATTACACGCAGTAGCCACTGTGCCCCGCCCTTTTTTTTTTTTTTTTTTTTGATTGAACAAGGAAGGGAGTTCTCTTTTACTCAATTTTATCAAATTATTGAGTCTGTGATTTCCTAGATAATTAAAGGCAGAACTTTTCATCTTTAGCCTTTCCTGGTCACAGGCATTCCTAGTGCAGCTCTTTTTGCATTGTTCTGTTTTTGGCAAGCTCTGGCCTTTTCTGTATGCTGTATACTAAAGGCCTGGATGCCCCCTCAGAGATGTTATTTAGTCCTAGTGAACACACAGCCACCGCCCCCACCCTCCCTTAAGAACTATACCTGATGTAATCATCCGGGTTCCCAGGGAGAAAGTCATAAATGACAGTACTCTAAAAGACTGGACTTATCGGAGGCCCCAGGGGTCTAGTTCTCTGACTTCCTGAGGGTGGAAGGGCTTTTGTCACCAGCTTCTTTTAGTACTTGGAGCTTTTTCTGCCTTATCATGATTTTGTCCTGAACCTCTTTCTGTGTCAGTTATATTTGAATACACCCCTCACTTCCCTCACGCTTCCTCAACTTCAAGACAAACCTTGTTCTTCCAACTCTTTTCCACCACTACTAGGTACATATTTTGCATTTCCTGGCACATTTTGACTTTGTTTTAAATAACATTAATTTTTAAAACAACTGTCTTCCATTCTTGACATCTCAGAACATTTATGGTTTTTATATTATTTCTGCCTTTATTTATGGAGCCCCTGACAAAAGGAAAAATTAGAATTCATTTTCCACTTAATAAAAGTATCTAAACCAACTTGTATCCCAATTAAAATGAAAAGCATGCTGGTTTATTTGAAAACTGGAAAAGTAAGCTGTGAGGGCATCAGGGACAAATTTTAAGATTAAGTGTATATAAAAATACCTGCAGAGTAGGTTTGACCCACGAATCAACATTTTAATCATCACCCCAGGTAATTTTGACATGGGTATTACCTGGATTCCACTTTGTGAAATATCACAACATTTGCTCCTGCTACGTAGATGTTGTCTAGATCAGCAGGTATTTGAGCTAATTTGCTCTTTTCCAAAAGGCAGTGCAAAGGGGGTTTAAGATGAGCCATAATGCTATGAAATGTTCTTTTAGGTAAATTTCACAGGAGATTCTTGACACTGTATTTAACCAGATGTAGAAGGATACCAGACGCTGAAGTCTGAAATAACTGAGCTCTAAATTTCATCTCTTGTGGTAGTTTTATGTGTCATTTAGCACATCATTTAATCATTTTATTTTATTTATTTTATTTTTATTTTTGAAGACAAAGTCTCGTTCTATCCCCCAGGCTAGAGTGCTTTGGCTCACTACAACTCCTGCCTCTTGGGTTCGAGTGATTCTCATGTCTCAGCCTCCTGAGTAGCTGGAATTATAGGCACCTGACACCATGCCTGGCTAATTTTTGTATTTTTTGTAGAGATGGGGTTTTGCCATGTTGTCCAGCCTGGTCTCAAACTCCTGACCTCAGGTCATCTGCCCACCTTGGCCTCCCAAAGTGCTAGGATTGCAGGCATGATCCACTGCATCTGGCCCCCTTAATTCATTTTAGAGTCCATTTCTTCATCTGTAAAATGATTATTATAAAATTATCCCACAGTGTCGCTGATAAGATAAAATGCATTAATATGTGGAAATAGCACAATTTCTAGCACATAGTAGGATTTCCTCAAATAGTGTCCACACCAACCTTTGTCGTTTGCTTTCTGATTTCTATAGTGCAGGCATAACTTTGAGTACGTATATGCAAACTTGTGTGTACATACACACAGATATCCATACACAGAGAGACACAGAAAGAGGCACAGGGACAGAGACAGAAACAGATACAGAGAGCTTGACAGGGACTTTTGCTTTTGGAAGACCTCTAGCCTCAAAGGTTGCATGACTAATCTTACCAGGAAAAAATTCTAGGTAACTATTTTAGGTATGTAAAGAACATAAATGTGCATGAATCTAATCTGAGGGAAAAAATAGCTAGTGCTAGGTGTGAATTCTATCTCTGTAATGAATGCTTCTATCTTTTGATCCATCATCCCAGCAAGTAAGGGATTCCTTCTCATTGATACTTCTTCAAAAGGCAACCTGTGACTGCCTATGCTGCACCACAGAATTGCTCATGAATGAATATATAGAGCACTTCTAAACAATAAAAAGAAAGAAAAAATATTCTTTCTTTGGGACAGTCCAAGAAATGAATGCTACTACTCTGCTAAACTCGGGAAATCTCTGTTTGGCTCAGTGTCCCACAATGTTATTTGACCTGATGACTGGTAATAGATAAAAACGTGAGCATGGAGTTGATTAGCAAAGTTGAGGTGGTGTAAAGCGGTCTGCTAAATGACCCGAAATATACTTCCATGGATTCCTTTCGCTTTGTTTAATTTTATGCAATTTAAGCAGCAAATTAAAAATCACGTAGAATTTGGACCATCAGAATTCATGTGAGAAAGATGTCTGTAAACTGAAAAGTGTCTTGAGACTGACCTGTACAGTCTGAAGCCCTGCAGGAAGTATGTCTTAAGGTCAGCCTTTGTCTTCATACTATAAGGGTAGCAAGAATACATTTCTGTTCACCACCTCTTTGAAGCTGATCCTTTTCCACTTTTTTCTCATGTAAATACTCTCAGGGCCTTTTAAGACAGCGTAATAGGCATATATGTGTGGTTTTCAGCAGGGCAAGAGTGCAGTCAGCTATTGGTTTCTTATTTTGTCCCCGTTCCAAATAGTCTGCAAGCTGAACATAATCTCATCATTCAATTCAGCATTTGTGCTTGTAGGTATTTATCTAACTGATTTGAAAACTTATGTCCACACAAAAACCATCATGTGAATGTTTATATCAGCTTTATTATAATCTCCAAGAACTGTAAGCAACCAAGATGTCCTTCAGTAACTGAATGAATAAACAAACTGTGCTTAGATCCATACCAGTATTCAGTGATTTTTCAAAATGTGTAATCAAGCCATGAAAAGACATAGCAAAGCCTTAAATGCATATTGCTAGGTGAAAGAAGTCAATCTGAAAAGGCTGTATACTAGATTATTTCATTTATGTAGTATTCTAGAAAAAAATTGAGCTTTAGAGATGATAAATAGATCAGTGGTAGCTGAGGTTTGTTGAAGGGGCACAGTTGTATAGGTGAAGGTGAAAAACGGGATTTTGTAAGACGGTGAAACAATTTTGTGTGATAGTGTAGTGTTAGATACATGACAATATGCATTTATCCAAACCCATAAAATTTTACTACCCAAAGAGTAAACACAGTAAAAACAATCTAGGAGGTCAGGTTATTCCAGGTAGTAATATAGACTGTGACAAAGAGTTTACCGTATTGAAAATGTATGAAAAATCTAACTTAAGTGTATGGGCAGAAAGGGACCGATCGAAGTAACTTCAGGAATTAGTGTACGATATAAGATTAATTGCAGAAGGAACTGTAAACACTATAACCCAGTTGGCAAAGTTTTTTGATGTGGTGGTACAGGCCAGCAATTCTGAAACCATTTACCTATCTACTGGAATTGCACCATTAAATAAATTAATATAGCATATGGCATCAGCTAGGTTTTTCACTGTTGAGTTGTAGAGTACAGATAAGCAACGTACAAGGGAGGCCAGAAGGACCCATGTAGTACAGGTTGACAGTTGGAAACATCAATATGAACTCATATTTACTTTAATAGAGACGGATATACATAGAGATATTTGTGGATATTTGTGTGCACATCAGTTAGTGTATATACATATCTTGTTGCTCTGTCAGCTGAGTGAGCCTAGAGGAAAGGCAAGCCAGTAGTAATATGCAGAATCCAGATGTTGGTTTCTAACACCATTCTCTAATAAAAGAGGCCAGGGCTCCTTGGAGAAATGGCTAATTCTAGGGCTGGGTCAGGGAATACATAGGATGAGTGTAGACCTAAAGAAACACACACAAACAAAACAAACAATTAAAAAAGTGTAAAATCCTCCACAAGGATGGAGAAATGTTAAAGGAATACAGGAGCCAACTGGAAGAGCTTCTAATACTCAAAGCTGGAAGGATTCAAGCCACAGAATGAATAATGTAGTGTTGGATTACAACCCAGAGAATAAAATAAGTATCTGTGAATTCATACTGATATAAATAAATGATTAAATAAATAAATAATTAAATAGGAGAGGAGAACCAGTTCACAAATCTCCCATGCAGAAGAATTACAAATTATTTATAAGAATATTCCCATCTCAAGAAGGTAGAGCATATTTTTTTACCTTTTAAAAATGGCTGCATATTGTGACATTTTGTCAAAGATTACAGTATAGGTAGAGGGAAAAACACTGCATCAGCCATGTGATGAAGGTCAACATCACCTCATGGGTCATGTTGAAATATGTATTCTTGATGTAATGACAGCGGCACCTTACCTCTGTGGTCTTCCTCCCCCAAATTTAGAAAATCTCTGAAATAAACTCTGTTTAACCGTAAGAAAATACATCAAAGAAACTTATATTGAAGGGCATTCCATAAAGTACCTGACCCGTGTTCCTTAAAACTGTCAACAGAAACAAAGAAAGTCCAAAAAACTGTTACAGCATGAAGAGCCTAAGAAGACATGACTAAATGTAATGTGATATTCTAGATAAGATCCTGGAACAGAAAAACGACATGAGGTAAATCTTAGGAAATCTAAATAAAATATGGATTAAACTAATATTGCTTAATTGTGACAAAATGTGCCTTACTAATGCAAAGTGTTAACAGTGGGAGGAATTGGGCACAAGTGAACTCTACTATCTTTGCAATGTTTTGGTAAATATAAAACTATCTAAAAATTAAAATTTCATTTTTTACATTTAAATTAGAAAATATGTGATTTTTATGTTTAAGTGGCTTATGAGTTTTATGTAGTTTTCTTCAAGTATAATTTAGATGTAGAATTGAACATCTCTTCCTCATTCATGAATATCATTTTCATAATGGGAAAAAGGAGGAAAGTCACCAGCTTAGAGATGATGAAACCTTAGATACCACATTTCAAGTTAGAGGAATAAGCTGAATTCCTGAGTTATAGTGGCCAGTTATTCCTCTCAGTTTTCCTAACTAAAAATAGCTTCCCCTCATTTCCAATGCCACTCATCCTGTCCCCTTTGTTATTCTTCTCATTTAATCAGTTCAGATTATTGCAGTGAAGATGTTAAATTGAAAGTCCTAGACTGGCATCTCATTTACCCGTAAGACAGGTAGAGCTGTAAGGGCTCCTGCTGTATGCACCATTCCCCTGGGTGCTTCAGCCTTGACCCACACAGGACGAGCTCCTAATGAGAATCAGCTTAAGCCTCCCTAACTCATTCATCCCTGTCCTCTCTCCTGAGACTACCAGCAAGAGCAGCAATTAGGGCCAATTGTGGTGATGGTTGGCTGCCTTTCAAAATAGAAACTATCTCAAAATCCACGTAAGGGCTTGCCTGACTTTCAGCTTCCTTAAAGACTGCAGAGACTTTTGGTGACAATGCTGAGAATTACCCAGATTATCCGTGGAAGCCTGTAGTAGTGCAATTACCAACACTTGTTTGCAGTCTTATTGTGAACTTCCTCTGAAACCAGAAAAGGATATGCTGCCACAGGTACAGAGGTGGTGGGTGAGACAAGAAAGGAAAAAGAATACTGTTCTGGGAATGCAATTGTTTGCATCAGTGACTCGACTCCAACAGATGAGGTGACTACCAGAGGCCCTGATGTGGGCTTTAATAACCCTTCCCATCATGGAAAAATGGCTTTTCCATAGACTATGAAATCTCATAGCAAACTTGTGTCCGTTATACATTTCCCATTGTATATTGACTTGTAGAAAACTTTGTTGATTTTTTTGTTTTTGTAATAGATCCTATGTTTTCTCCTCATGTGTTAGATAATACCAAAGCATTCTAGAAAGCTTAAAAAAAAGCTGAAAACTACTGTGCTTATCTGTTGCCTAGTTTAACACTTTGAACAGGTTTTTCTTGCTTTGCAATTAAGGAATAATGACCCAATTCAGATTTAACTGAAAAGTGAGGAAGCCCTTGTTAAACTGTTACAGGCTATTGTTAAAAGTTCCATCCTTCAGGGAAGGAAAAAGAAATCAAAATTTATTTTCCCTCTGAGGATGTTTCTACTTACCAATTCAAAAAAAAGGATTATATAGATACCTATTAAATGCTTAATTTCCATAATAAAGTCCTAAGTTATTTTTTCTTTTAAATAATTATCAATATGCTGTTATTTGGAGTCTGTGCTTTTCTTACTTACCTTTTGCTGTCTCGTCATAAATCAAGAGCTATCATTCATAGAGATAGGAAATGACTGATTTCTCAGCTTCGCTTAGAATTCTTCTGAACCCTTAGTCCTATCCATCAGCTTCAGCAATGAGAAAGGCACCATGTGAAGAGACTTCTCTATTTATTCTTTCTGCCAGACCTTTGTTTACATTCAAATTTCGCCTCTCTTAAAAGTTCTAAAAAGATTTCTTTTTTCTTACAGTCAGTATCATTTAAATTATAATATTAACATATATGCAGACCACCATTGCTATATTTCTGGAGTACTAGAAATTGTGAAATTACATGCATGAACCATTTGCTCATCTCTTGTGGTTTAGAGCATCTGTGTTTCTTCATGACTGATCATTTCTATAGCTTATAATTTTCATTTTGGAGAATTTTGTGCTCTGGACCATTCTACACAGTGGCAGCTGTATCACCTCAGATAAGATGATAATTTAAAATTGAGGGTTTTGTCAACAAATCACTTGCAAGGAAGGCATAGGGTGTGTGTGTGTGTGTGTGTGTGTGTGTGTGTGTGTGTGTGTGTGTTAATGGAAGTGTTTATGTGCGAATCAAGATTGTGTTAATCAACTGATATCCCTTTGATCGTTCCCATTAGGCCTCTTGTAGCTTATTAGCGCTCTGCTGTCAGGATCCCTCTGGCTGCTCTGTCACTGCCCTTCAGAGTAGGAATGCAGATTCTAGTGAACCTGGATTTGTTTAGATTCAAATGCATTGGTTGTTCAGGTAGAAAAGACTCCTTTGCCAAACTGTAAACTTTCATGATACAGATATAGAAAAAATAGGATTTCACAGATCCTATGAATGGTATGTAGAGCAGAGGATGCTCAAACATATCAAGTGCTGAACCCTGGAATTTGTTCATGTTACCTTATACAGAAAAGGAGTCTTTTTGGATGTAATTAAGTTACAATCTTGAAATGAGGGGATTACCTTGGATTAATCCAGTGAATCCTACATGCCATCACAAGTTCCAGTATCTATTTTATAAGTGCCCTTATAAGAGAGAGGCAACGAGTGGTAATATAGACACAGGAGGAGAAAGCCATGTGAAGGCAGAGGCAGCGATTGGAGCCGTGCAGCCACAAACCTGGGAATACCAGGGCAGCCACCAGGAACTGAGAATGAAAAGGAAAACATTCTCCTGTAAGTCCCCAGGGAGGGTGGCCCTGCTGGATCTGGACTCCCACCTTCCAAAACTGTGAGGTAATACATTACTATTGCTCTAAACTACCAGGTTTATAGTAATTTGTTATAGCAGCCTCAGAAAACTAAAACAAACAAACACAAAAACTCGCAGAACGTTATGTTTCATAAATACGACTCCTTGTAGTCTTATTAAACTATGGAAATTCTTTAGGATCTTCATCAGCACAACTGTTGGGCATGACCACACTCCCCTTCCTCTACAGCTGTACTGTTCAATGCTGTAGCCACCCACCACATGTGGCTATTGAATAATTAAAATGTAGCTACTGGGACTTGAGGAATTGAATTTTTAATTTTATTCCATTTTAATTAAATTTTTAAAACTTATACTTGACTCAGTTATTGGAAACTTTTAGAGCATGCTCAGAACAATTTAGGTATGTGAATTTACTTTCCCAGCTCTAAATTTTATGAAATATACATACACATTAAATATTTCCAAGGAAAATTTAGCATTGCCAAACTGAGATGTGCTCTACATGTAAACCACATACCAGATTTCAAAGACTTATGAAAAAATAATGTAAAATATTATATTCATAATTTTATATCGATTATATGTTAAAATGGTAGTATTTTGACATGTTTTATCTAAGAAAATATACTATTAAAATTAATTATATTTCTTTGTAATTTTTTAAATGGGACTTCTAGAAAGTTTAAAAGTATCTCACATTGTATTTATTTTGGACAATGCTGCCCTCTAATCTCCCTTCAGAGTTAGCCAGCAAACTGTTCCTAGGAAAAAGTCTGATTTCCTGTACATTGCAGACCAAAGCATTCCCCCAACTTGCCGTTGTCTGGAGGACTAGGAGCATACCTCACTCTTATGGTGGACCACATCCCCACTCTTACGGATAGTATTCATCTTTTTGAATAAAAATGATCACCTTTAGAAATGGAATTTAAAAATAAACAATATTGCCTTCATTCATTATAGCATATGAAAGAAAAATAATCCAAGATTGCATATCTACTTTTTAAATATTTTTACATTTTTATTTTTCTTCAACTTTTAAGTTCTGAGATACAGGTGCAGGATGTGCAGGTTTGTTATGTAGGTCAACGTTACATGTCTTTTTAAAGAAGAAAAGTTCTAGGTGATTGTTATTTGAGTATATTTATAATGTTTGGAAATTAGACACCCTGTCTTGAATTTTCAAGACCTGTGGCAAATATTTTCCAGGCCAATTTCTCTTATCTCTTGAGAGTTCTTTGTGTAACAGCAATATTTTTACTCTTGAAATGCTTTATGTGCCTCATTATTTTAAATAATTTTAAAATAACATGCTAGATACTTGTGCAAATAAACTTTATTTTGATTAAATTAATTGAAAATGTCATTTTATTTGAGTAATACAATAATATTCCTAATTTCTCTGTTATTACATTGAAAATAGTGTATGTTTACTGGTTTTAGGCATTTACCATAGTGAAAAATAACTCAGTAGAACCAAAGATTATAAGTAAAAGGTTTTTTTATCTACTATGCTATGCTGGATTGATTGTGGATCTGAAAGCTATAAACAATAAACAACACCTCAGTGTGACAAACCCCTTATTTAGTATTTGGAAGTGTTCCAGTTTTGTTTTGTCTCTTTCTCCTCCTGATTCTGTAATTAAAACATGCTCTCCCATGGGCCCCTCCCACATTGCTGTCACACTTACCTCAGTTTCTGTTGGCTTTAAAGGAGTCTTAAAAAAAGAATTGACAGGTATATCACTTAAATCACAAAAGTTACAGGAGCTGGAAATAATTTAATAGTCCCCTTATTTCACAGATGAGAAATTGTTTTGAGTCAAAGCCAAAACGAGAACAAAAGATCTTCTGCCATCAAATCTAATTTACTTTCGGCTAAATCATGTTTCCACTAAAAATGACCTGAAAATACCTTGAATATTTCATTTCTGTATGAGCTCCCAACTCCCAAAATATGGAATACAAAATGAAAGACCAGTTCATATAAAAATTAGAATGACAGTAGTTGTTCTGACACCATTACATCTGTGGATGTCTCCTGAAGTCACAAGGTGCTGTCCAATCACTCACCCCTCCTCCTTTACTCAGAACGTCTGCTAATAAAATAGGATTATGTTTGTAAGGTAGGCACCCTAGACATGGGTATTTCCTCCAATTGTTTTAACTCTGTCCAATGGTATATATAAAGGTCCATGTAAAGTTTCCAAGAGGAGTATTAAATTCTGAGTCACTTATGTAAGTGTTCTGGACTTGGAGATTAATATGCATATTTCAATGTTTTAAAGTAAATGTATTATTTAATACAGCATTCAACTTTCAAAGCTAAATACTAGTTATTTTATGAATTCAGACTTAAAGTGCAATTTGAAGTAAATACTATGGTCTGTATTGGCACATCTTTAAAACACTTATTTTAAGTTCAGGAGTACAAGTGCAGGTTTGTTACACAGGTAAACTTGTGTCATGGGGGCTTGTTGTACATATTATTTCATCACCCAGGTATTAAGTGTAGCACACATTAGTTAATTCTCCTGATCCTCTTCCTCCTCCTCCTCCCACCCTCCACCTTCTGAAAGGCCCCAGTGCATGTTGTTCGCTTCTATGTGTCCATGTGTTCTCATCCTTTAGAACACTTTTAAAGTGCCATTTATTTAATATCTAAGTTTGCTTTTTAATGTTCATGCCTATAAACTTCAAACTTATATATGATAATCAAGATGTGCTTTTCTCCGCACCTTAAGTCTTCCTCTTCTTATGACTAGATTGTTGATTCTCCTGTGGAGGCCTTAACACACTGGTTTTAGTAATTGACATAGGGCAGCATGTGCATAGTTATACACTGAAGGTGAGCATCATGGCTCCTAATGCTGCTGTGCAACATGTTGCATCCACTAGTCTCTTCTTGGTACAGTCTCTTCTCTGGGTTTTGTAGTCTGGAAAACCATGTTCATTTAAAGACTGTCTGCCTCATGTAATTATTATGGGGATGACATGAGATAGTATATTCATGCATATTATGAAACATATTAACTATGAAGCATGAATAATTGCATTAGGTTGCATTAGGGACTCCTTTCTGATAGGATGTTGAAAATAATCATAAGGGGAAAGAGAATGAGTGATACAATTATATGAAATGAAAAAATAAATGATGGAGAAGACCATGGACTCAGAATGAGGTAGACTCAAAGGCACAGCATTGGTGTGGGAGTATTAATTTTCCATAAAAAAATTAAAGTTTTGGCTCATGTCTGTAATTCCAGCGCTTTGGGAGGTCAGGGTAAAAGGATCAACCTTTACAACAAAGCAAGACCCTGCCGTTACAAAAAAATTTAAAAATTAGCTGGGCATGGTGGTGTGCACCTGTAGTCCCAGCTTCTCAGAAGGCTGAGGTGGGAGGATCACTTGAACCCAGGAGTTCAAAGTTGCATTGAGCTATGATTTGATCATGTCACTGTACTGCAGCCTGAGTGGCAGAGAGAGACCCTGTCTCAAAAAATAAATAAAATAAAATAAAAATAACAACAAGAAAAAAAAAACTTAAGAGTTTTAGAAAATCCTGTATGGCTGAGAAAAATGTGAAAAAACTTTTTCAGATACTGCAGTAGTAGATTTTGATAGAGAGATTGGGACAATGACAATAATTTTATTCTTATTATTGAAAACAGTAAGCTATAAACATGCATTACAATTGCATAGTATTATTGATATTATTGTCAGGTGATAGGTGTAGGCGACTCAATAGTTGAACAAAGTTTGCATTCATTGGATAAGGGGTTCTTATCCATCAAAATGGAGGGCTGCGTATAATGGGTCATTCTGAGAAGCTGCTATTCCAATCATTTAAATGTGTTGGCATTAATTTTTTTTTATTTTTATATGGAAGGTTAGGGTAGCGATAGGGAAAAAAGGAAGAATGAATTAATTCCTTTAGTTGAAAAGTAGATATCCTGTGAAAAATATTTGTAAGAACTCTTATATCTGCTTCTTTGAATCTTAAACAGTTTAGTGGCCTTCAGGCATATATTTTTTTTATTTTTATTACTGTTATTAACTATAGGTAGTATCATCTTCTTCTTTTCTTAAAAAGTGTTTCAGCTCATTTTCCATTACAGTGGCCAGTTCCCTGTTTAGCCATTATGACAGATGACCTCTGAAAGCAGCCCCAAATGGACATATAAACATGATATGTGAATACAACTAGTTCTGTCTGATATTTCCTTTGTACACAAAGTTTTCTTCGAGGCAATAGCTAAAGCTTTTTGCCCTTTTCAAACCCTCCAATCCTCAGGAGGTTATTTTCAGTGAAGTGATGAGAAGGAAGAGTTCAAATAGGATTGATTTAATAGAGCTATGATGTGAAAAATCTTGCAACATGTTGTCTGTCTGAAATGGCCAATCATGGAAGCATTAAAATCAGAGTGAGGAAGGAATCAAAGGCATCCCAGAGAGGCACCCAAATTGAAGAATGACAGCACCTTGCCATTTCTGTGTGTAGAAATGAAAGTGTTAAAGAATGAGAAATAGCGAAAGATACATTTGAAGCAGTCATCATCTGTGAGCTACAACTTCAGCTGTGAATTTAGTGCAAGAAAATGTCACCACTACTCTCTCTTCACCGATGACCCAAGAAATTTAAAGAAAACCTTCATATTTCTTTTGTGCGTCTATCTACCTACTCCTGCCAAAGAATCCACTCTCTCTTTCTTACTTGTATTTTGTTCCTATCATCACAAAATTTTTTTCTCTTTAATATTTCGGTAATGTAATTGACTTGTTTCTCTTATGCTATTCACGGTTCTCAAAGAGTACTATTCATTTACACACTCTTTAAAGCGGCCTATCAGGATATGACAAATCTAGCCTGAGGGCAGAGGCTAAGAGATTCCTTCCAAAGAAGGACGGCAGTCGTGGCAGCAAGCATATGGATTGCAGATCACCGAAATCAAATATGGAATAACTAAATAAAACGTTAGCAGTAAGTCCTGCTAGAATTGTGAGGGTAGGCAGTCCTGAATCTTTGGCTACTTCCCTCTGTTCCAAGGTCACTTGGGTGTTAGTGACATGATATGCTTTCACAAAATATGCAGGAAATTGGCTTTGCAAATCAGAATTCTAGCTAATACCTTTATAATATCTATATTATCATAAATGTGTGCTTAAGGGAGAGTGTGTGCACAAACATAGGAGGTTTCTTTAAGCATTAAAAAAAATAGTAGGTGTAATTCCATCCCTTAGAGCGAACTAGATCTTTTCTGATGTCTAACCTTCCAATTTATGTATACATATGGATACACTCTTTTTAAAGAAGATATAATGCCCTGTACTTTGATTTTTAACCTATTTTTACCATAATAGGGAGAAAAGTGCAGGAAGGAACTGGAGGAGACATATGTATATAGATCTTTTCAGAGTTTGTGACTGAAAAATGCTGGGATTCAGGTTGGAGGAAGAAGAACAACTGAATAATCAGTGTTTTTGAGATGGTGAGAATGAATAGAACCTACAGAAACTTCGAACTGGGCTTTGATGACAAGAGGGCTGCTTTGGTTGTAGCAGGAGGTAGAGGGGTGTGGAAGTTGGTGGGTTTATAAGCAGATCAAGTGATAAGAGAATAAATAGAGTCCATGTTGGTGACTTGCTCTTGTCTTTCCTAACGAAATCTGAGGGAAAGTCTCCAGCTGACTGTAAATGAAAAGGGAATTGTAGGGACTTTGAGAAGAAAGGGAAAAATATGAAAATTTTCTTGATGAATAAAACTTAGTTTTCTAGCACATTAGGGTGGGATTGCTGGACATTTCTGAGTTATTTAAGGTTTATGATTGTGCAATTAAAATGAGTTAGAGGATAAGAGGTATGATTTTTGAAGAAATGTTTGGCAGTGATGTTTAGCTGTTTAGGCACAAGTACAGAAAAGGTTAATGTTATGATACACTCAGAGTTGGAGTTTTGCTAGATGACTCTAACAGGTCAGTGAGAACATTTGCAAAGAGAATGTAAACAATGACAGATAAACAAAAAATGGAGACAGAGGAGGATAATTGGTATATCCAGGAAATGAAAGAATTGTAGCAATATGGGTATCAGAGCAAATGGGGTTGGGGGAGGGAGATTAGAAGTAGTAATTAAATATTAGAATGTTTAAAATTGAGTTTCTCATGAGTACAAGGTCTGGAGTGTGTCCTTGACAATGTACTTGAATTGGTGAGAGAATGTGGAGAAAATGGAGCCTTGGAGGAAGGGAGAAGCAGGTTGAATGATTCATTAACGTGGATGTTGAATTTACTGTGAATAATGGCAACAGTTGTGGTGGAGAGGAGTTATGTGGTAACGTTTTTCATGAAATAAAGGAAGTAACAAGGAGATAGGGAGGTAACTGTAGCCAGTAAGGTAAGACTGATTTATCAAGATGGTGGACATCTTAAAGGAGCAGTGGTTTTTATAAGGGACGAGGGCTTGATAGTCTAGAAGCCACAAGGGGAAGCAAGGAGGACACACCAGCCTCACTTTCTGGCCTTGAGGTAATGGGGTATAGAAGAGAAAACACAATCACTGTTTGAGGTTATAGAAAATATTTGTTCTCAGAGGAAAATTAGGTTTCAGCTAAGAGAAGGAAGTGAAGGAAATGTTCTGAGAAATGAACAGTAGAAAGCAGCTTAAGGAAGTGAGGAGAGGATAAAGATTGGGTCTGAACAGGAGATGAACTGGAAAATCTGGAGATGAGTCTGGGTGAAAACAAATATCCAGTGAAGTCCAGGTTAGCAGTGGTGACTGAAGCAAGCAAGAATCAGAGGCACTGGTGGGATAGTCCTCATGCATCTGAGATGAATTATTTATAGGACTGTGGTTCCCTGGCCCCTAGATCGGTGTGATGAAAATGCTTAGGCCTTAGAGTCCCTAGAAAAGGGTTAGAGCTGAAACAGTGTAGCTTTACTTCATCTGTTTCATATATGGACTTGCTCAAAATGTTTTGTATGAAGGCAGTGTCAAATGGCTTTAGAAAACTAAAGATACTGTTATAGGTCATCGGGCTTAATTTATACAAGTCCCTGGGTAATCCAGAAAGGGACAAATGAACCTTTAAAATTTTATTATTTTTTACCATGTTTTCTTTCACACTGAATGGTTGATTTGATCATAATTGGGTTTGTGGGTAGGAATTGGAGCAAAGGAAGCAAAAATTATCGGGAGACAGGGAGTCAGGCTGAATAGGCAGAAAGTTCTGATTTTGTTTTTCATGTCAGACAGAATGTTGAGTCTCTTTTCAGGGAATTGCATGGCAAACTGGGGACAACCCTAACCATTAGGGAAAATTCATACACGTCAACTTTCATTCCAAGCTGAAAAGAGGGTTAAGAGCCAGGACGGACATGTCTGAATGGTGTCGATTCACATGTAAGTGGGGATATGTCCCTCTCATCTCCCTCTCCACTCTGTACAGCAGATGACAGCCGCTTCTATTAGCTATCATTTCATTCGATGGACATGTGGTAGTAAGACAGGCCATTGTATTCTTCCCTGGACTAGTTATTTTCCATCATAGAGAGAGTATGGCAGTGACATCACGTCTCTCAGCCACCCCGACCTCTTTCTTCTTTTTTTTGTAATCCAAAGGAACAACATCTGGATAATTAGAATGATTAGCGTTCTTTTATAGCTAGAATTCTTGAACATTTGTGTTGGCTGAGATAATGGAATTTCCCCTCACATAATCTCCTATCTTCAGCAATGCTGAGAAACATAATTTTCATATTATGAAAGTTCGGTCTTTCCTTTTGGGGTAAAAATTCAAGCTATCTCTGAGCATAGATGTGAAAAAGTGATTTTCTAAATTAACACCTGTCAGAGAAATTTCTTTTTCAAAAGCTCCCTATAAATTCCTCAAATTTTATCACTGTTCTTAATTGATCCCACTGTTTAGCCAGATATGATTTTGATGTTTACTCCTTGACCTGCCTATTAAACTTACTTTCTCCTTATTCTTCATTCTTTCATAGGAAAGACTTCCTTCCAAATAACCCCTAGGCCAGGGTATATGCTGTTGCTATTTTTTCCTTTATCACATATATAATTTTTGGTTATTTATTTATTTTATTTTTTTATTTCTTTAAGACAGAGTCTCACTCTATCACTCAGGCTGGATTGCAGTGATGCAATCTCAGCTCACTGCAACCTCCGGCTCCCAGGTTCAAGGGATTCTCCTGCCTCAGCCTCCTGAGTAGCTGGGGTTATAGGCACCCACCATCACTCCCGGCTAAATTTTTGTATTTTTAGTAGAG